ACTTCTAAACAGCCCAAAGTCAGCTCTCCCAGAGTCCAGCTTGGCCGTTTTAGTGCTCCCCCTCCTAACTTCATCTAGAATTGAGAATTCTATTATCTCGTGGTCACTATGCCCCAGGCGTCCTCCAACCTTCACATCTCCCACAAGACCTTCTCTGTTCACAAACAGCAGGTCTAGGGGAGCGCCTTCTCTAGTCGGTTCACTGACCAGTTGTGATAGGAAGTTGTTCTCCACACTCTGCAGGAACCGCCTAGACTGTTTCCTGACTGCCATGTTATACTTCCAACAGACATCAGGTAGGTTAAAGTCACCCATAAGGACAAGGGCTAGTGAGCGCGAGACTTCCCCCTGTTGTTTAAAGAATAGCTCATCAGTCTCATGAGAAATGAGAAAGAACAATTTAAACGGTGATGCCAATATTATTAATGTATAATGGCCACAATGAAGAATAAGTACTTTATAACCTATTGTTATTATTATAACCTATATTGTTATATTATTATAACCTATATTGTGCTATCACACAACAGCATCTGAGATACCAGTATTCTCAGTAGGAAATTTTAGATCACACAAGCACTTTTGAAAAATGGTGAACTATTCAGTGTGCCTCCTTCATTACATTCAGGCATGGGACCTGGCTGACAAAATTGATCAGAAAACATAATCTAGCAAAAACTTGCAACATCCTTACCTCCCATTCCTCTCCTTCTTCAGGCTTTAGTCGCAACTCATATTCAAGGGTAAGCCACCCAGATCTGACATCAGCCAGAGGAGGTGGAGACCATGTCAAGACCAGATACGGTTTTCTATTCATTGGCTTTTTTAATTCCAGAGTTACATTCACAGGAGGATCTGGCTGTACTGTTAAAATAAAAGAACTGACAATAAGGGTCTAAATGATTTTTTGCTTGCATCTTAGGAAGAAATATGAAGTGGTGAGATGCCACCTCCCTTGTGTCTAGTAATTTAGAACTGGTGCTGGAATACAGGGATGAAGAGTTTCCTAATAAAGTAAGCATGGATTTATGAATTTGAAGAAAAAACTGAAGAACGGTAAATATGTTGAGTTCATGTTGAGATTTGCCTTGATCATTTGTTATCAGAAATAATTTTTTCTTACATTACCATTTACTGTTGCTTTTCTTCACAACTATGTTTCAAAGTTAACATCTTTAATACTGTGTTAGGAAAGTTGCATTTTAGCATAATCTTATCAAAGTTGGCATATATATTTAGGAATGCTGAAAACACAGATGTAGCTGATGAAACTTGCCCCCACTCCCCATCTTTTACATTCAGAAATCACAACAGCATATTCCATACATGCATAAATAAGGATATTTAAGAATAAAAGAAACGAGTAATATTAAAGCCCTGTTTATATCTCAAAAATAAACCAAAATGGAACACAGGTTTCTGCTACAGTCAGACTTTCAGCTTCTTGAGTTCAGAGGTAGAGCTTCTGCATATCGTGCTTGTTTTTTACCACTGTTTGATGTGTAGTTTCATCAAATAAGTAATCAGGGCATGGAGGTAAAATGTAAAGCCTTTTCTCCAGCAGCCCTCTTCCAATTGCCAGACTCCTGGCAGACAGATCCTTGATAACAAAATGGTTATCAGTGATAACGTTCCATTCCCTTAGAAAAAAACCTAAATACTTGTCCACAGTCACTCTGTGGAAAAAGTCTGAGAAAAGAGATTATCAGTACGCTGCTATAAAAAGCACTATTTCAGCTTCTCTTGGGTCTGGAAACTACTTTTAGGTAATCAAATTTAAGTATTATTAGTTAAATGATCAAATTTATTTCAGTTTGTGGTAGAGTGGAAAAAGATTTTAGCTGGATGATGTTTCTTAGGGCTTGACTGAAAGGAATATGGAAAACCAATAAATGGTTATCTGAATGCAGTGTTAAAGCTTTTTGCATTTTTAGGCTTCCTTTGAAAATAAAATGGTAAAGGGATGAATATTGATTTCTTATTACACAGACAAGATCTTATTTGTTCTTACAAGTTTTTAACGTGCAAATAATACTATATATGAAAATTATTGTGTCAAACTCCATAATTTTGGATTATTTGGTTCCACAAAAAATACTTTTTATCTCTTACCTATGTAAGTCACATCCACATAATGAGGATCAGAGACATTACTTCCCATTTCATTAGTTGCCTTCACAGTAATATTGTATATGGTCCAGAAAGAGGTGTGCTTTTTATCGAAGTAGCATGAGTTGGGACCTGCAGTTTTGTAATCTGGACATTCGTAAACTTGTTCTTCTCTGAAATGAAAGAATCCCAGTGATTAGGTTACACAGACAAAAACACCTGACTTGGAGTACTAGTAGTTCAGCATTACTAAGGCTAGATCAGATTTTCCATGCGTGGCAATATGAAGAAAATCAGAAAACTGCTTCCAGACTAAAGAGTCACTGAATGATTCCAGAGACTGTAGTAAGCATTTTCCCCCTGAAATACAGACTACAAAGCCTGAACAATTTAGGCTGTTGTAGATGCAGCAGTGGGCTAGTAGAGTGCAGCTCTTACCTTGCTGAAAGCCGTTGTCCACTGCATAGGCCTTTACAGGTTCCAGAAAGCCAGCAGAAACGATTGCTGAAGACTTCTAACCCATCTACTAAAACCCGAGTATTCCCAATGTTCATTTCACACTTCTATGAGTTCTGCATATTACATTAAGATGCTTTCAGAATCTATTTTGGTCTTTCATCACCTGTTTCTCAAAAAAATCTACTTTGTACCTGTCTTCCAAATCCATTCCCAACCAAAGGGAGTAGGGATAGGATAGAAAGTTGAGTATGTAGTACTTGTTTCCAGTGTCCTCTGAGATGCACAATAACAAAAGAGAAAGTTGTGGATGTGGACCTCACACTCTGCCCTGGCTGGCTGGACCAGTATCTATATTTTTCCACTCAGACTTGGCTCTCAGCTGACAAGTTTAGCATCCACTTAGATGGGTACAAAGCTGAGCAGTGCTGGGTGAACCAAAAATAGTTCACAGGACCCAAACAAAATATTGACTACCCTTTAAAATGAATGTTTAGCACTTGATCTAACTTCCAGGACCGAGATTACTGCAGAAGCCAGGAGATATTCATGGCCTATGAATATTCGTGCAAAATAAGAATTTAAGAAGACAAAAATTTTAATATCTGGTCATTTTAGAAAGCTTTATTTCTGGGGCTGCATGGCTGAAGAGCTACAGGACTGTGCATTTGTGTTGCGCACTATTATGCAGTTGCTGTGCCATGGCAACTTTCAAGGCAGAAGAATTCACAGATATTTGAAAAAACTGACATTATGAAGAGATCCTGTTTCAACCTTAAATATGTTGCTGGTAGTGTTATTCCAGAATATGCCACTTGGACAAAACCACGTGCTATGGAAAACATCTGCTAATGCAAAACCAATCAGGATTGATTTTCCAGGTCCTTCCAAGAAAATACTGAATAACTATACAGAGTTTATTACCCTTCTTTGCTGTAAAGCAAAGTGTAGTTAGTAGGGTGTCCTCCATCTGAACCAGGTTTCCACCAACAAGTAAACGTTTCCTTTTCTGGAGAACGGCATTTTATTATTGTAGGCTTTTCAGGAGGTGACTCTCCTGTAACAGATAAAGAAACAGTAAATGTAATCATCAATTACTGATGATTACAGTAATCAAATCAAGCAGAGCACAGGAAAATACTGTTTTTTTCCACAAGGAAAGAAAAAGTTTTGCTTCATATTAGCATAGGAAAGGAAGGATGGTTCAGTGGTTAGGACATCCGCCTGCTACTTTGATCTGGGTTCAAAATCCCTTCCCACTGCAGCTATGCTGAGGAATTATGTTTTCGTTCCCTGGCTGTGGCTCTTCTCTGTCCCAAATTTGACAAGGGGTGCTCAAATAGTGTCATAGCAGGTTCTAGAAAATGATTTAAAATACACTCTGCTATCTAATCTATTTTCTACATAAACCATTTTTTCTTCAAAAAATGTGTTTTAAGATGCTCCTGATTGTTTAAAAAATATGCTGTCATTTGTTTTGGCTTTTACAGGAAAAAAATGAATAATGTAAGTTTTCCTATTTGTATACGTCCTTGCCAGTAATTCACTTCTGAAGTACCTACGCTGAGCTGACTCTAAAGATACAAAGAAGCAGCTCTCATATTTCCTTGTAAAGTGATGTCATCCTCAGTACTCAGGCTACTTGCCTGCTTGCTGCAAGCAATTTATAATTATTTGGATTCTTGATGATGTTTTTATAGACTCAAGCAAAGCACTTAAGAGTAGGGCAGAAGAAAATGCTTAAATTTTTGAATAGGATGATGCTAGTCAAAACCCTGATGTGATCAGAACTTTTGCAGTTATGTATTTGTGGCAAAATATGGTCCTATTACATCAATAATATATTTTTTCTACTGCTTAGAGTGGGGACATTGATTTTCCAAATTTCGAATTGCCTAAGGCTGATCTGAAAATGGGACATTTAAAAAATATTTTTCTATTAACAGTACCTCAGCTGTCTCCATGTCAATTAATGAATAATACAATTAGTGACAGAAGAAGATTTGAGACAACCTTGCTAAAGTGTCTGGCAACGAGATATGATGTCATGCATTTTAATGTGTCTGCTCAAACCCAACGAAACACAGATAATTATTTCCATGTGATAGTAGCTGCAATTGTTATGGTCTGTTAGACATGGCAGTGCTTTCACTACCGTTACCAATAAACAAATTAATGATTCTTACACAAGTACCATTACCTGGTATCTATAGCTACAGATGAAATCAACGTGATTTTTAAATAGAGGGACAGGAACAATACATTATTTAGGCACATCTGTATCAGAAATGACTTCCTAGTAAATCCCAGCCCATCTGTCATAGCCAGTTTCAGCAGAAGATCCTGAGTGGATCAACAAAACTAAGTACGCAGCTACACAGAGTACAGTAGGCACTAAGCAGTTCCTCCAGCACTGTGAAGTACCTGTGTGAGGAACTGGGTGCCATTTAGGCACCTTTCACAACACTGAAGTGGCTAGAGTTTAAAAACAATTAACAGAACAGCAGTCTCTACTCACCGTTGGGGATCTGAATGTGTCTTTCGGAGCTCCACTCGCTCCATTCTCCAAAGCCTAACGTGCAACGGACCTGAACAACATACCTCATCCCAGCTTGTAACCTAATCACTTTGTACTGTGTCTGCACTCCAACAGCTATTGTCTGGAAAAGAAAATGGACTGGAAAAATAATAAAGAATTGGAACATTTTAACAAATAAACCATAAAGAACTAGTGTTGTGTCATTGAATTCTGAAAGGCAAGGGTTTCAGTTGAGTATTTTATAATATGTGAATGACAAAGAAGCAAAGGTAGTGACTTAACAGAAAAATTCTCTTCAGTCACACTGAGATTCTGATGCTTGAGAACATATTTTTGTAGACTTCCTATATATTAGTACTGCATCAGACCCACAATGCAAGGAACACTATAGGTAGCCCAACTCAAAGATAAACCCTCTGTGTAACGCTGCTTAGTGGCTAGTTATAGTGTTTATTATCAAGTACCTCAGGCCCTCTGAATCTCTCTTCAGAAGTCTTTCAAGACACATAGCTTTCTCATCATTAATGCATCTCAACAATTTAGGTAGCACTGAGGCCATCTGACTATGATTTTAAGAGCAATATTTTATCCTGGTATCTCAGCTGTGGGAGTACTGTGGCCCAGTCTTAGCAAAATGGTGACAGCTGGGAATATCAATGGAAATAGTGTGTGTGAGTAGGACGCCCCAGACTGTCTGAGAGGGGGGCCACCCTCAGCTGGTCATGTTGAAGAGAATGATGATGACGACTCTCAGCCCAATTAAATAGTAATTAGGAAATAACAGAGAGACTTCTGGAACAAAAAGAGTCAGCTTGGAAAGCAGTATTAAAGAAGCATGAAAACTGGTAATAGAGGGGGGAGACTGGAAACTTCAGCAGTAGCTGAGATTCAGTTTGATGCTGTCAGAAGCTGCTCTGCTGTCATCCTGACCGCTGCCTGGGCCAGACAGAGCAGCCTCCCTCTCCGATGCTGTGAGTAGCTGCACTCCAGACAGCATGGGCTGCAGCAGGCAGGAACCCACACCTGGCTGTGCACATGTGGCCATGTGGGTTCTTTCTCACTGATGTGTGTCTTAGTAGGCTGTAAGAAGGGACACGGTTACACATCGAGCCAAAGCATCTGTGTGCCCTGCAGAAGCAGGTGTAAATAGGGGAGTTTGTACTGCCAGGAGGGTGAGGTGTGCTTGTAACCTACCCTTCCTGGGAAAGAGGATTCTCTGTGTATAGTATGTATCTGAGACTAGTTACAGAAGTGTATTTATAAATTTGTAGGTGTCTGTTATAATTTTTAAGTACCCAGTATTGTGATTTATCTGTTGTGTTGCTGATACTGACATTGACGGCATAGTTAACTGATTGCTTGTTAATTATATCTTAATGAATCAATAAACTACCTTGATCCTGATTTGGTTATAACTATATGAACTGAGCAGTTTCTTACTGCGACACTTGGGAACAGACACATTGACAAAAATTACAATTAAATATTATATCAAGAGACTAAACAGTTTTTTTTTTTTTTTAGGATATTAAATTAGGACAATTATATGAACACCTTGAATCTCACCATCTCTAATCAGATTTAGTTACATGAATTTATCTATCCTTACAGAAACTAAAATTTTTATAATACCAGTTAAATTCAGACAAGAGAACTCACTGAAAAGAGCATTTATACAATAAATATATTTTTCCATTACCTCCCACTCTTCCTTTTCCTCAGGTTTTAGTCGTAGCTCATAGTGATATATATGTGAATTAGAGCTGACATCAGCTAACGGAGGGGGAGACCATTTTGCCAAAAGGTACATTATGCTAGCAGATGTTTTTTTTTCTAGAGAGAGGTTCACAGGAGCATCTGGCTGAACTGTATAAATGAAAAGTTTGCCGTTAATAATTTAATTTTATCTCAGGAAAGGCACCTCCTTTACAGTTTGTGTATTTCATCACCTTAATTTCAGGTCATTCAGCACTTCTGTAAGGGAATATAGTACAATAGCCTTTTTTTTTCCTTTCTCCCTAGTATTCTTTAACTGGCTACTGATTTACAATAGTATGAGCAAATTTAGACTTTCCTCTGAATTTGTCAGGCTAAGGAAATACAAATCATAATTTCATTAGGTCACTCTTGCAAAATTAAAATATCAGATATTTCATAGCTAAAAAGCCTAAGTACATTTATCATTACAAAGTGCAGACTATGTGTATGTATGCGGAAAGCAGACTGGAGTTAAGAATATGAAATACTACAAAAAGCCCACAGAGTGCTTAGGCAGTTATTTTTACCCTCTCCAGACTGCAATGCCAGCAGCCAGAAAGATGTTTACTTTTAGAAAATTTAGGTAGCTTAACCTAATTTTAAAGTTTTATAACCTGTAGTGCTAGGAACCTACAAAACTGTGATTGAGTCTAATTGAAATACTGGAGATAACTAGAAACTGGAGCCAATTTTTCCGCCAAAGTTAAAATGATAATAAAATATGCAGTTAATTTATAAGTAAAATTCAGTTTTCACATAAATTAAAGATGCATATTTTAGATCATCTGTAGATAAACACTCCTCCATAGCAAGTTTTGCATCATGAGGAAAGACATTTTCACCACGACTTGTTCTGGGATTAAAAACCACATACATCTGCAACTAGTTTATTTTCCATTTCATTCTTCTCTTTTTACCTATGGAGGTCACATCCACATACTGAGGATCTGAGCTGTTACTTCCAATCTCATTCGTTGCCGTTACAGTGATATTATATGTTGTCGAGGGATTCGTGTGGTTTTTATCAAAGTAGCAGGAATTGGGACCTGATGTTCGGTAGTCTGGACATTCATAGATGTTTTTCTCACTGAAATAAAATGTTTTAAAAAGTTAAAAGTTTAGGAAATGAAGCAAAGCAGATAATATTCTAATAGTGGCCTAAGTTTAGCAAAGAAATTTGAAATGTTTAACTTTAAACCTATATATAATTCCACCTCTGGAAAACATTTTGGTGAGTGCCAAATGCTATTACCATAAATGCTTCATTGCTATTTTTACTGTAGTTATTCAGGATGAATGCTTTTATCCTCCTTTTTATACATAGGAATATGTCAACAAAAGAATGGAAAGAGAAATTTCTAGAGCAGCACAAGACAATTTAAAAAAAAATTTAAAAGCACGTTTAAAGGCAAATTAAATACATTCACTTTGACTGAAGAAGAAAAGTTGCAAAATATCTTCTTTACGTATTTCACATTCAATATGGTCCCTTATGCCCTGGAAAGTAACCTGATGGGCCCTATGGTAGAGGAGTGTTTTATTGATTGTTTTGTTTTTAGCTAGATGTTAATTTATCTGCTTTTTAACATGATCATCATCACAACTGTCTCAACAAAAAATATTTGATTAATTGATGGTCTCTTACCTAATCACCTTTATACGAGTCTTCGGCTTGTTTAAGAGAGGGATTGTTTTGTACTCAATTAAAGCTGAGCTGGGTGATGTACTCAGAGCCTATCCTAGGTGTGAAGAACTGCACAAACCCAAAGCACCAGCTGAGATGTTTCAGGGATGCACTTTAGTCTCACTGTTATGCGCCGCTAACAATGGGGTCTCTTAGTTTGCAGGCAGTTTTGTTGCGGTTCACAAAAAAACAATGGGAGTAAAAGGACTGTATCTGAGAGACAATGAGCTAAGGAAGGCAGCCATGGCCCAGACCTGGGGTGCTTGTCAGTGCCAGGTGTTCAGAGTTTTAATGAAATGGAGAAGCACTCCTATCCATTCCAAAGCAGGCTGTGATAGGTATGATTTAAAATGTTCATTAAAGTTTCTATTTTGGTTGAGATTGAAACATCTGGACTTTCATAAAATAAAAGCTCTCAGATCATTCTTGAGTGTGGTAACTTCATTAAAGGCTACATCTTTCCTGATCAATTAATACCAAATGATATGGAGTTTATTTAATTGACGCAGGGAAGACTGAGGTTTTACCTTATCTACTCTGAATCTTGCAGATTTATTCAATGAAGTTTAATCTCTGACACTCTCTGCTTACTTGGCCCTGTTCTGAGACCTCTTGTTTTCAGGAAGAAATGGCAGTTACACAAAGAAGCACAGGTTAAGCAAAGTTGCTAAACATATACACATTTTATTCTTAGACAGGATGAGAGAGTGGCAGACTTCACCGCAACAGTTAACTTTTGAGTAGCAAAACCCACATCTGATTTTACTCCGTTTTGGGAACCGTGAGGTTGGCTACAAATCCAGAAGGAGAATCAAAGAGTCTCTATAGATTTTCTCCAGATGGGAGAGAAGGCTGTGCCCAGCAATGGAGGAGCTCCTCACAGGGCCCCGAGGGTCCCGCCAGCCCTCACCGCCCCTGCCCTGCCTCCCCAGGGCCTCCCCACCATGCCTCCCAGGTCCCTGTTTCAGCCCTCCCTTGCCAGCCATGGTCCCCCCAAGCCAGCCCAGGCTGTGGGCTGACGTCCTGGTGCAGCCCAGTCTTAGCCTGTCCCTGTCCCCACGGAGGTGCCCGATGCCCAGGGCTGGGTTGCCCCCAGCCTGCTGTGCTCCCTGGCTGGGGTGGTGGGATGAGCCTTGGATGGAGACCTTGCCCTGCTACCCCAGGGAAGCCTCCATGGCCCTGTGGTGCCTCGATGCTCCTCTCCTCAGAGAAGCACACCATTCAGCCAAAAGCTATGTGCCTCCTGGTGAGACAGACAAACCACACCTTTCCCAGTGTGTCTGTAGACCAGTGGGAATTTAGGTCAGATGAGTTTCAGTAGGGACAGGCTGAAAGTTTGGCACTGGTAGTGGTCATGTTTTCTTCCAACAAGGGAAAACCCTTGCTTGCTGGCTATCTGAGGTTTAACATGGATTCATAAAAACACCTTTATAAATTAATGTTATAATTCCCTCATTCTGTCACAATCATCACTTGATCACTTACAGAATACGTATGCACTGCTTGTTACCTGTCCTTGCTGTAGAACAAGGTGTAATTGGTAGGAATTCCTCCATCTGCACCAGGTTTCCACCAACAAGAAAAGGTTTCCTTTTCTAGAGAACGACATCTTATTATTTTAGGTTTTCCAGGGTATGATTGACCTGGGGAAGTGTAGAAATACAGCTAGTTATATTAGAGTTGGACAATGTTTTTTGTTGTTATTGTTGAACGATAAATGCAGCAAGGAGTGATTTTTTGAGGACAGTAAAATTATTTGAAACTTTGGACTGAATTTGGCAAACAAATCTGCCTGGAAAAAAAGGTCAAAACTTTCACAAAATAAATATATTTTACCTCAAACTTCTGAAATGCTAGTAGTATTATTTTACTTCTCTTTTTCAAATGAAAATTTTGTTTTTACCTAAACTTTAAAAGTGTACAGTTATCTCCAAATTAAATTAAAAAGCTTGGAAGTAAATGTATGACCTTTTGGTTTTTCCTAAAATATCCAACATTTTTATCTTCAGGTCATCTTAAAATTAAATTTCACCTTTAACTTTGCAATACAACCAAAATTTCACTATTTGCACATATGTGGGGTAAATTATAGGTAAGACAAGTAAAAAAAGAAGGAATCAATAGGCTGAATGAAGTATTTTGTGTATTGGCAACCTGAATGTATTCATTAATTATTTGAATATTCCCTAATAATCCCAATACATTTAAGAATATTTCTGTTGAGACTACTTGTCATTAACTTCTATCATGAACATAGACCATAAATTTACACACATCTTGACATGAAAAGCATGTGGCTTTTCAACATAAGCTTACATTTATTTCATTAAAGTTCCCTATAATTATCTAATGCTACTATTCATATGATCCTGATTCCCAAGAAGGTGGCAAGTATGGAGTGAGAGTAGGGATGGAGTGCCCTTCATCATCACCACCTCATAATTATTCAGTTAATATTACAAAAAGAAAAGAGAACTGAAGCCATTTTCAAAATCTTCATACAAAATTTTAGAATAAAATAATTTAGATATATACAGGCTCCAGTGGTGGTCAGGATAGATTGGGCAAAGCCTCAGACTTTTCTAAAGAAAGTGTTTTATGGAAAAACACATGTTTCAGGAAGTGGTGAACTTACCAGTCAGACCCACTGCAGTCAGAGTAAGTAGCAAAATAATTTGAACTGATGATGTCAATTTCTGCTTCATCATGTCTGCTTCTCCTCAGGAGGAAACATCAGATCAAAAGCTCACTGAAAAATACACCATCATGCAACAGTCAATAACAATGCTTAACATGTAATACATATCACTTGGCTTGATCAAAGTCCTTTTTGAATTGCAGCCGATTGATTCTTGTTATTTCTCAAAAAGGTGTGGCAACACCTACAGTTCCACTTCAGAAATCGAAAACCTGAATCACAGAGTAGTAAGCATGTCCTCCTGAAGGTCTTCAAACCTTAGTTAGCAGTGCTAGGATTACAATTAAATGGCATTAACAAATCTTGCATATTTATTTGGCATCTTGGGATCCTGGGTGCTTTTCTTAAAGCTCTAACTTTTAGACTCATTAATTTACCTGGGAAATCAGCCTTTTAGGAACAAAACATTCACTTTTATCCCTGTTGATACAAAGAAGAGCTCAACAGATTTAAACTCTGAAATTCCTGAAAACAGAAGGCAAATAGAAAATAGCCAAAATTCATTTAGAACTTTATTATTTTTGAGCCAATCTAATAATTTCTGAATATTTGGGAGTGGCAGTGTCGAATTCAGGATCACCTGAGCTGAAGAACGCTACTCTTTCTGTGCGTTCAACTCATTGGCTTTACTGCCTTTCATTTTGCAGTAAAGTGGAAATGCCAGGATCGAGAAAAGAAACCAAGGGAAAAAGTGGCGTAACTTCTTCGATAATTTATCAGGTGAAAATGCAAGACGGGATGCAATTACCCCTCTTTCTTCAAACTGTAAAGGCCAGAGGCACCGTTGCAGAAAAACCCAGAGGTGCAAGTGGGAAGCCACCAGCTGTGAAGACCCAGTCCCTGCAGTGAGCCGACGCCACTAGATGTCCTCAGAATTCAGGTTACAGCTCAGGGTGATCCGGAGTCCCTGTTGGCGGCTAAATCTGTTCGCTTAGCCTGAAGAAAAGGCAGAAAGACTTCAAGCAAGCCTCCTGCTTCGCCCACCAGTATGCTTCTTGCTTAGAGATGGTGACTGGAGTCGAATATCAGAATCTCGGTAGCCAACCTCACTCTTTGAAACTAAAGAAGAACTACTTACTATCTAAATAAATAGGAAACTCCCTGCCTCAGCTTACCACTCCTACCAAGCATATCTGACAGGTATTTGTATAGGTGAAACCCATTCTGCGTAGCACAGCATGGGAACAAGCCGTCACTTTGCTGAGGAAAGATTCTTTGTGGTTTATCAGATGACTCGATTTTCATTATGCAATTCATTTTCTCTATCAGGAGACTGTAATCCATCAGCATATAAATGTTTTTCAAGCGCAAAGGCAAATGAAGTACCAGTTAATTTAACTGAGTCTAAAACATGTTTGATGTGGGCACTGTGAGAAAGAACAGTTGGCTACATTTCCAAATACCACTTCTGCATATCCAGGCACTGAGATATAGGATGCAAAATTGCGTCCGAGTTAGTTTTAAACTCACTTACAGCAATCTCTGTATATATAGTCAGTGGAGAACAAACCATGTAAATATAAATTCCACTTTTGTGTAAACACATGCATATTTTATGACTGTAAACAAACGGCAGGCACAAACATTAGTGTTTAACTTCAGAAATGAACTGAAAACTTGGTGTTACATAATGTGGAGCACAGATCATTAAGCTCAAGCAAGAACAACGGCAAACAGAGAAGCATCATCAAGAAAGAGCTATATTAGAGCACTCCGCAAGGAAAATGGGATAAATTTGGAAACCAAAGAACTGAATTAATAGAAATAGGATGACATTAATGTATTTAACATCAAGTATTTTTCCTTGGGAGCATTTTTTTTTTTTTTTTTTTTTG